CATGGCCATCTTTGACAAGAGCTTGAGCCGTACTGCGGCCAGTCGCCTCAGCTACGTCCTGGCTTCTCAAAACTGGGACACCCTTTCCGACAGCTATTGGCTGAGTCAGGTCATTCATTTGATGTTTGGCTCAGTCGAGATGAACACTCCAGCACAACTTCATTCAGAGGACTTCCGCCTTATGCAACCTAGCACGTTGTTTGGAACTTATGCTCGAGACTCCAGGATTGGAGATGTCATGGTCGATGATGAGCTGGAGAACCTTGTCATCAGCCATCGCCGCTTCTGCAACCAGCTTGCTGATGTCAAGGTCAAGGACATTTTCGAACCGCTCGGACATTTGCAGCACACTGACAGTAACTTGGCACACGACATTTGGGTGGCTTTCTTTCCACTAGCCTGGACTGCACTTACAAAAGACGATCAGAGCGACCTTGAAAAGGGCATGGCAGCTTTGCTCACGAAGGACTACCACTCCCGCCAACTCGATAAACGACCCAACTGTGTTGCAACCATGCTCGATGCTATCGTACATTCCCGCCCACGGGTTAAGTTCCCGCCGCACATCATGAAGTATCTGGCCCAGACGTACAACGCCTGGTATACTGCTGCAGTGTACATGGAAGAATCTGCCATTTCTCCCGTTGTTGACGTCGAAAAACTGCGTGAGAGCAACCTGGATGCTCTGTTGGAGATTTACAGCGGCTTACAAGAAGATGACCTATTCTACGGGACATGGCGTCGACGTTGCCAGTTTATTGAAAGCAACGCTGCTTTGTCGTACGAGCAGTGTGGTATCTGGGACAAGGCCCAGCAAATGTACGAGGCTGCACAAATCAAAGCCCGCACATCTGTTCTTCCCTTCAGTACCGGCGAGTATATGCTCTGGGAAGATCACTGGGTTATTTGCGCACAGAAGTTGCAGCAGTGGGAGATTTTGAGTGACTTTGCTAAGCACGAGAACTTCAACGATCTATACCTGGAGTCAACCTGGCGTGTCTTTGATGCCTGGCAGAATGCCGAAACCCGCGAGCAGCTCGATGCGACCATTAAAGCTGTTAGCGATGCACCAACGCCACGAAGAGTCTTCTTCCAGACTTTCATGTCATTGCTCAAGCTCCACAACAAGCAAGAGTCGCAGCCAGAGTTCCACCGACTTTGCGATGAGTCCATCCAGCTCTCTATTAGGAAATGGCACCAGCTTCCACGATGCATCACCCAGGCACACATTCCGCTCTTGCAGCACTTCCAGCAACTTGTTGAGTTGCATGATGCTAGTGTCATTTGTCAGAGCCTTGCTCAGACTACTCAAGTAAACCTAGATGTCAAATCGCAAGAGCTTAAGTTGCTCCTCAGCACCTGGCGCGATCGCCTGCCAAACTTCTGGGATGACATCAACGCATGGCAGGATCTCGTCACTTGGCGCCAGCACATCTTCCAGCTCATTAACGGTGTCTACTTGAATCTGCTGCCTCCAAACCAGAACAACGCCAGCGGAAACTCGTTCGCATACCGAGGCTACCACGAGACTGCATGGATCATCAATCGCTTTGCACACGTGGCGCGCAAACACAACTTGCCCGAAGTGTGCATCAACCAGCTTGGACGGATCTACACCCTCCCCAACATTGAGATTCAAGAGGCCTTCCTGAAGCTACGTGAACAGGCAAAGTGCCACTACCAGATCAAGGCCGATCTCAATAGTGGCTTGGATGTGATTAATAACACCAATCTGAACTACTTTGGTCCGAATCAGAAGGCAGAATTCTACACTCTCAAGGGTATGTTCCTGGCTAAGCTGGGCCAGAAGAACGAAGCTGGTGAAGCTTTTGGCACTGCATTGTACTTTGACATTAAGCTGCCAAAGGCATGGGCCGAGTGGGGACGCTACAACGACATGCTGTTCAAGGAGGAGCCACAGAACCTGGAGAGGGCAGAGGCAGCGCTCAGCTGCTACTTGGAAGCTGCTAGCCAATTCAAGAACGCCAAGTCCAGGAAACTACTTGGACGTGTTCTGTGGTTGCTCAGCTTGGACAACCCGGAGCGCAAATTGGCAGAGAAGTTTGAAGAGTTCAAGGGTGATACGCCAGCGTGGTACTGGATTACTTACATCCCGCAGTTGTTGAACAGTCTGTCGCGACAGGAAGCTCCTATTGCGAGATCCATTCTTGGGAAACTGGCAAAGACGTATCCACAGGCGCTGTACTGCCATCTCCGCACGACACGAGAAGACATGGCTGTACTCAAGAAGACGCATGAGCAGAAGGAAGCAAAAGAAAAGGCGGCGAAGGCGAAGCAGCAACAGGCACAAGCTTCGCCAGCAACAAAGCAAGCCTCACCCGAATCCGGCAACCAGGCAGCGGCCGCAGGCACTGATACCAAGCCTGCAGCTAACGGAACGGCCAATGGTACAGTCAAGACAGAAGGTGCGGCGCAAGGCAGTCCGAAGGCTGGCAACGCACCTGCCCCTGCCGATGCTCCTCCAGCACCAAAGAAGCCATGGGACCATGTCGAAGAGATCAGTGCTATCCTTAAGACGGCTTTCCCTCTACTCGCGCTATCCATGGAGACGATGCTCGACCAGATCCAGAAGAACTTCAAGTGCCCTCCTGACGAAGATGCCTACCGACTCATCGTAGCTCTGCTAAACGACGGTCTGTCTTACGTGGGCCGCCAGCCAAATCTCTACGCACGCGAAATCAAACTGCCAGCATCGACCGAGGCTAACATCACGCGCTTCGCTGAGTCTGTTCTGCCACCGCACATTCGCAAGGCTTTCGAGAAGGACTTTGTCACTAACAAGCCGACAATGTACGAATACATCCAGAAGTTGCGTACCTGGCGGAATCGCTTTGAAGAGAGGCTTGACCGAAGGAAGCTCACGGTGCCGCTTGAGCAGTATACACACCAACTCAGCGAGTTCCGTTTCCTCAAGTTTGACGATGTTGAGGTACCTGGGCAGTATCTGCAGCACCGAGACAAGAACTCCGACTTTGTGCGCATCGAACGCTTCCTTCCCGACGTGGAACTGGTGCGCGGCATTGGCATCTGTCATCGTCGTCTCAGGATTCGTGGCCATGATGGAAGCATCCATCCTTTTGCTATCCAATTCCCTGCTGCTAGGAGTTCAAGGCGTGAAGAGCGCATTGTCCAACTGTTCCGCATCTTCAACGGTATCTTGGCGAAGCGCAAGGAGAGCCGTAGGAGGAACCTACAGTTCCACCTTCCGCTTATGATTCCGATCACACCCAGTGTGCGCATGGTGCAGGACGATGCATCGTACATCAACATGCAGGGCATCTACGAGGATTACTGCCGTAAGAATGGTATTAACAAGGACGAGCCCATACTCTTTAGCATCGAGAAACTGAGAGCTCTCCAGCCTGTAAGTGTTGGACATAATACCTTGGTCGGTAAACAGAAACTAATACAAACCGAACAGAAAAACCTGGACCACGCTAACAGTATCCGCCTCGAAACCTTTGCTGCTGTTCAAGAGAAATATGTACCTCCAACAGTCATCCAAGACTACTTCCGCGCCACGTTCCCCACCTTTGACGACTTCTGGCTATTCCGTCGCACATTCAGTTACCAGCTCGCCGCTCTCACCTTTATGACTTACGTCATGCACATGAACACGCGCTTCCCACAGAAGATTAGTGTATCACGTGCCAGCGGCCGCATCTGGGGTTCTGAACTGATTCCCAGCATGGCTGTCGGCAAGCCCATTCTGCACAACTCGGAACCGGTACCGTTCCGTCTGACACCCAACTTGCAAACAATCATGGGCCCACTCAATCTTGAAGGCATCTTTGCGCCTAGCGTCATGACTGTGGCTCGATGCTTGATCGAACCCGAGGGTGAGCTGGAAATGCAACTCAGTATCTTCATGCGCGATGAAATGAACCACTGGTTCACCAGCCAGCACAAGTCTAGCCAGTTGACGCCAGAGGTTCTTAGGGAGAGCGTCCAGAACAACAGCGATTTGGTGGTCAAGAGGGCCAGTGCTATTGGTAGCCTGCCTACTGGAGCTAATCTGCCAGCAAACCAGACTGTTGTCGATCTCGTTGCTGTAGCAGTACATCCTGCTAAGTTGAGCCAGTGTGATCCGCTCTGGATGGCATACTTGTAGGAGATTTAAAGGTGGAGATATGGGTGTACAGGTGTTGGAGGATTGGTTTCTTTTTGATCAAGGTTTCTTTATCCAGTGGTGATGGGGACGTTATTTTTTTTAGCGCTGGCGTTTCATTCTTGGCACTTGACGGATTGAAGAGATATCGTGTGTGTGTATTTTTGGTTTTGGCATGGCGCTTTGAAAGGGATTTGAGGAAAAACGGGCTTGTCAAGATGCATGGTGCTTTCGATGGCCTATCCGCTGTGTTTATTGTTTTGTGTTTTTGTACCATTTTTGAAGCAATCGACCTGTTCAGTATTTAGGAATTCTGTTAGATGTGTAAGATGGACTGAATGTAAATTATAGTTAGGATTTTTGTGTATACGAGTAACTTGTGATATTGTTTCCCAATGCTAGCTGTTGTGATGTATTTCCACGATGCTTTTCAGTCAAGTCTACTCTTTCATCTCGGTGGAAGTGCCCATGCTATTCAGCACTTTGTTCACTTCCCGCCTCCTCTCCCGTCTGTACAACGCAAGCAAACTTGCGGTATATGCATACAAACCCTGTGTAGCAACTCTCTATTCGGCCCGACCCGGCACATTTCACTAGCATCAGGCAACCTAGGTACTGTTACTCCGCGAGCACCTGCCGCTTACGAGCATCTGCGCGATCTTATCGATCGGTGTGGGTTACTCAGATTAGCGTATGCGATCTACGATACGCGTATCGAGCTTCGAGCTTCGGCAGCTCGGATTTTCCCGAGCCCATATTCTTTCTCGCATAGAAGACGAACAGAGGGTGTATGCAACTCAAGCTGAATACCAGATCCACTTTCGTATATAGATAAATGAATCCTGACTACTCTATCTGCTAAACACGGCATTTAGCCAAAAGCCCATTTAGGCAAAGCAACACCATCGCACCCCCTCGCCTGCCTCCACACACGATAACCCTCAAACACCAACCTGGGCAGCTCCAGCGGCGAAGGTCTCTCCTCGGGCGTCCACTTCAGACAATCCCGCACCATCTTTGCCAGATGTCTACACCCCGTATACTGCCCTCCCAACGGCCTATCCGGCAGTAAATTCTCATCGGGAACCTGCACCATACGCGCCAGACAATGCAATACGAGTCCCACGGAGAAGACATCACTATACGCATTCCCCTCGCGCTCCGGCGCCTCAAACCGCGGATCCCCCCGCCCCAGCACTCGCGCATGTCGTGAATACCGCTCCGACCCGGCGCCCACGCAGCCAAAATCGCCCAGCACAACGCACGGATAAAGCGTATGCGCATCCGCACCTTTGCACTCTCTGTTTCTTGTCAAGAAGACATTACCAGGCTTGATATCGCGGTGCACCATGCCATGCCATCCTTTCTTCCTAACCGCGGATTTACCCCGAAAAGCCCGGTCTCGTGTGGTGGCGTAATCGGCTCCCGTGCTCAAGTAGCAGAGTGCGAGGGCTAGGTGCCAGAAGACGCGGAAGACGAAGCCTTCGTCGTGGAGGCGCGTGGCGTGTGCGTTGAAGTGTAGGATTAGAGTGTCGAGGCTGCCGAGCTCGCAGTGTTGCATGTAGATTGAGATTATCGAGGTGGATTGCGTGGAGGTGAAGATAGAGACGAGGTGTGGGTGTGGGTTGCAGAGGCGCATGGCAAGGATTTCGCGTTTTGCGGCACGGGAGGGGAGGAGGCGCTTTTCGATGTAGACTTTGGCCGTCGGGAGGTGCTGGGTTAGGTAGATGCCTTGGTTGTGGGCGCCGGCGTCGCCGTGGTGGGTTAGTTTTTTGAGGGTTAGGAAGGCTTTTGGGGGGAGGGTATAGGGCATGATGGATTATCTGGGTGGGTTGTTTGGGATAGATAGTCATATGTGTGTGAATGTGGTGGCTCTTGGGTATTTCGCCCAGCAGGTAAGGGAGGTGCATCTTCTTTTGAGGTCTGGGGATGCCATGGTAGGTTGGTGATGGCAAACGGCCATGTCTACTGATGTGGTTGATATGGGCGTTTGGAGAGAACGTGTAAGGTGGAGAGGTGCCTGATGACAGCTCTACGCATTCACGTCGTTGGCACACTACAATTATATTTACATATCATTCAATTGTCGAGTCCAAATCCCCAGAAATACAATTAACATTTAGCCCCATGCTCACCGCCATGCAACAGTTGCTAGCGCGGAGTAGGACCGACGGGATAACCTGGTTGAATGTACTTAGCGCGAATAGAGCGCGTATATCCTCATCTGCCGGAAAACTGGAGTTATCAAAACTGGGGTAAATTGCCTGCCGATTGCGGGGTTTAAAGACACTAACCCTATAGGCAGTATCCTCGGATCTTGATCACGGCACCAGGAACCAAGTAGCTGCATGGTACTTTGTGGATGTATAAAACGTTAGCTACATGCCCATGCCTTGTATCTGTTTCACCCACCCTTCTCCTGATAATCTAGTAATCTCGTAATCAACGTATATATTTCGGCAACGCTGCTCATTCATCATGCGATTTCTATACTCTCTTACTACTGCCATTGCCACGCTTGCACAGTTCGCCATGGCACAAGACGAAGAACCTGTGCCGCCGCAGTTGACTCTGCTCTATCGAATGGAGGCTTTGCTGGCACCTCCGATTAATGTTCCAGATATCCCCTATGGACAAACGCGCTCCATTATTCCCATCATTGGAGGCACCTTCAAGGGACCAAGACTATCCGGTTAGTAGTAGTTCAAGATGCCGTCTTAATTGCAAAAGTCGGTGAGAGGAATGGGAGATTGTCTGAATGGCTTGGCTTTTGGATGCTCTCCCCTTTTCGCAGAGAATGACGTCACACGATGCTACAGTTTCTAATCTCACATGTAGGCAAAATCCTGAATATCGGCGCCGACTGGCTTTTGGTGGACAACAGTGGCAAGACACGACCTGATACGCGTTATGTGCTCCAGACCGACGCCGGCGAGATTATTTACATTCAGACCGAGGGACTGCCGCCAAAAGACAACAATGACAGTACACCCAACATGTTGCGGGGCAAGTTCGAGACGAGCAGAAACAACACAGTCGCGTGGTTGAACGATGTCGCCGCTATTGCTGTACTGCGGGTGGGAAAGCCAAATACTGTGCTGATTGATATGTGGGAGGTACGTTGTTTTTGCCCTTTGTCCAAGTTTTGAATGGAAATGTGCGGGAAAAAGCTAACAATTTGAAAAAAATAGGCAACGCCAGCTCCAGAGAGCAGCAAGCTGTAAGAGCAAACCAAACCGTTGTACATAGTTGAATAAAAGTGTAATTGTGATTCTAGGAATTGTACCGAGACCTAGTTGGCTGTCGAGCATTTTGCAGATGCCGAGATGTACTGTACGCTTGTGGGCTAGTGGCCAAAAAACCTTAGTGGCTCCAGTGTGTGTGTGTGTGTGTTGTAGCGCCGACTTCGCTCATTAGCCAGTTGTGAATATACCTCTAGACACTTTTACCAACTAGATATAATTCAAGTCACATAGTACTACTATTTAACCTTGAACCTTATACCTGCAAAAAACCGAATTACCAAAAGATAAAAATAAATAACAATGGACTCGCAATGGCACCACCTCCCCCCCTCCCTCCTCGAACTCCAAATCGGCCAAATCGACCTCCTCCTCGCCATGTACCCAGACGACCTCACCCTCTCCGACTCCGCAGACTCCACGCTCTCCATCCTACGTGACGGCGATATAGAAAAAAGCCAAGAAGCCATAAAATCCGACCCAAGCATCTCGGCTACTCTGGACCTCTCCATCCCTTCTCCCCCGGAAACAACCCCATCAAGCACAACTCCGCAAACCCTCCGCTTACACCTCACCATCCCATTCACCCACCAAGGCGCCACAACCCCCACAGACCCACCACCCGTCAAAGTCCGAGTCCAACAACCAACCTGGCTCAACAAATCCCAAACCAACTCCCTAACTTCCTCTCTGCCCAACCCAGACGACCTCCTCGACACCCTCGACGTCATCCTCGAAAAATCCCGTACCCTTCTCTCCTCTCCCACCCCCTCTTGCCCCCCTTCTCAACCATCATCATCACCATCACCATCATCATCAATTGAACCCCTAGTCCGCGCCTGGTTCCTCTTCCCCTCCATCTCCACGCGCTCCAAACGCGCAGACCTCACCACCTGCGCCCCGCTCTACTCCCTAACGGGCTTCCTGTTCGCTGGCAAACCCGGCGTCTTGTGCGTTGAAGGCGCGTCGGCCGATATAGATGCGTATATGCGGTTTATCAAGACGGAGAGTTGGGGGGATATTCCGGCGTATCAGAAGAAGGTGACGGAGAGGTGGAGGGAGGTCGGGGTGGAAAGGAGGGTGTTTGAGGGGATGAGGGAGATTACCGGGGAGGTGGGTGAGAGGAGGGGGGAGAGGGGGATGAGGGGAGATATGGGGGGATTGGAGGAGTGGTTGGTTGGACGGGGGAGGAGACGTCTTTTTTTTCGGAGAGGAGCCGGGTGAGGGAAAGAAGGGTAGACTAGATCAGAATTCTTGTTGTATTTCGTTATATCGTAAGAA